TCAGAAATAACAGTAATAAAATAGACAGTCATACATCATTGAGGCTTTTATGCCAATATGTTCGAGATAAACACGGTAATTTGCATCATGAGCGATTCAGGAAAAAAGACAGCAGTCTACAGTCTAACTATATGTGAAGATATGTGTGAAACGATGGTGATAATGAACCAGAAAGACTGCACAGAAATCTGTTAGATGAAGTAAAAATAGAACTCGGCCACTATAGTAGATTATAATTCCATAATAGTGTAGTTTTATTATTTGTAACAATTACTCAGTCTTATTTATTTGCTGATTTTTGGAGCAAAATTCATTATCATCTGAAGGTGTTCACATAACTTTTAGGTTTTTGTCGTAAAGTTACATTACTTCTTATTTCTCGATCTTACTGACAACAATATTTTCTCAGGTATTAGCGTTATGCTGTCCTTATTGTATGCATTCGGTCTAGATTCAATGAGTAACAGATCAGCGGTCAAAGTGTAGCTCTGTCCCACCGTATTGGAATTAGTGTGAGCATTGGAGTTTTCTGGAATTTTCTCAAAGCTGGTATTGTTATAAGGTCATTCATTGTGCACTCGGCTAAATGCGTACGTGTGACAACCTAACTGACCCCGATCTACTAAATCGACCTATATAATTATAGGTACTTTGTAGATTAGTTTATCTTGTTTAGTCTGGGTAATAGGCTTCGTTAGTCTGCATAGTTGTTCTCAGAGTGCGTTCGTAGGATTTAGTGCCACCACAATTTCTATTGAAAATCTTACATAGGGCTCCATATGTGACATTATTTATCCACACATCTTTTCAAAATGTTGAGAACAATATTCGCCTTATTAACAACATTCGTATGTAAGTATAAATTAGCTTGTTTCTGTGGAGCTAAGTACATAGGCCGTACCAGTAGGATACTGTCTAGAGATGCGCAAGAACATTTCCGACTGTCGTTGTCTAAAGAAATCAAACGAACCAGTAGCTTATTTCGTGGGCACCTTGTTTTCACCCTTCATTCTGCATTAATACGGAAATATTTCAGTGACGTATAGAGCGAAGTCAAATCGTCTGTCCACAATGGAAGATCTTGCTATACACAAAAGTGGTGTCTCCAATCCTTCTCACTACCTTTCTGTTTCTAACTTGGACAGTGGTTATCATTTCTTTAGACTGGTACTATAGTTTGATACGTAAACCAACTTCATTCGTTTTTCTTCTTTCTTTCCAAACTCCTGTTTGTAAAATACACTTTATCCGTACTCTGAATCTCTTACTGCTTTGAATAATATACTCTTTCCAAGCATTTATAGTTCTAAGGGTAAGTATTTCTAAGCGCTATTCATCACTTATTGTTTTTAGAACACGCGAGGCTACATAACCAAGTTTTTAGATTTATCCATTGTTTCTTCTTGATGCGTAATTTGGTATGTAATTTTGATATCAACTAACATTATAATTCATCATAAATTATTTAAATTAATCCCAGCATGTTAAGGAAATCAAAACAAGATTTCTCTGAACGTTTCACTGTGTAAGCCACAGCTTCCTCAGCAGATTCATTCAGATTTTTATTAACCATCAAAATATATGGTCAAATTTTTTAAAATAAAGGTTTTTGTGTTTCCCAATGAATGAAAACAAAACGATATTGTTTTTACTGACGTTTCGCTATTTAATGCTAATAGCTTTATCAAAGTATTATTAATCAAAATTTTTTACATGAATTGAAGTCAGTTTATTTGAAGGTCATTTGTCCATGGACATTTTTACCAATAGAAATATGTAAGCAGTCGTCACATATATTTGTAATGACTAATGTCAAATTGTTATTGTGTTTACTTTTCTATAGTTGATGTGTAAATTTTAGTTTTGTATGAATGTATGTGTATGTATGTTATTTGTCATATGGAAAATACGTGAAGTCACATGTGATAAACATGGTACCCCTTTTTTAAAGGTCATGGAAGCTCATAGAGTGTTTGTTGTTTTTTCATCTGTCTTGTTTCATAAGAGTTTGCCATATAGGCGATAAGTTTATACGTTCTTTCCTATTCACTGCATTCGATGTGGTTAAAATGTGCAGGTCTTCAGAGGTCAATCTTTCTTTATGTGAATCAAATCCTCTTCCAGGAATTTCGACGTTGTCGAAACCAATCTTATGTCCGCTGTCTGTCGCATACACTGCTATAGCCGATCTTTTTTCTAGATTTTTTAACTCTACTTCATTGCTAGGTGGACGTTTCGTGCAAAGTCTATGTTCATCCACTCTGACCTTCACCTGTCTACTGCTCTCCCCTATATAGCATGCATCGCATTCTGAACACTATCCTGTCGACACAATTACTTTGTGAAATTTTGGGAACTATATCCTTGACATGAACCAACGCTTTCTCCGGAAAATTAGAGGGTTTGACATGGACTTTAATATTATATGAAGCAAATAGTCTTTGAAGTTGTTCAGCTGTGTCCTTTTGATATGGAATGGCTATCGTCGATTGCCAAGATTTTTCAATTTTTTGTTTTCCCTTATGCTCCTTTTTATTGATAATATTATCTAGTAGCTTTTCCGAATAACCATTTCCAATCAAAATCTGTTTTATTTTGGATATCTCGTTCTCCATATTGTCATTATCTGTTATAATGTTTCTAGCTCTGTTAACGAGAGTTAAAGCTACTGAAACTTTCATTTCTATTGGATGATCTGATTGGAAATTCAAATACTTGTTGGAATGTGTCAGCATTCTGTATATGGTAAACTTTAGTTTCTCGTCAGTTTGTCTTTGTACAAGATAATCAAGAAAGTATAGAGTTCCCTCCGCCGATTCTACTTTATTAGTAAACTCATTATATTCTGAGATTAAGTTAATTTCTGTTAGAAATTTCTCTTTTTCAGCTTTCTTTATGATGATGAATGTGTCATCTACTATATCTAGGATGACAACTAAAACTTGTTAGTGCTTTTCTTTCTAGAGCTTTCATATACAGGTTTGCTACAATTGGAGATGCTGGTGAACCCATTGCAACTCCATCTGTTTGACAGTATAGTTTGTCTTTAAAGGTAAAATATGTAGATTCCAAACAAAGTTTTAAGCATTTTATAACTTCATCTATCGATAATAAAGATTTAGTTAATACTTCCTAATTGTTTTCAATTCATATTTCATAATATCAAGTGCATCACATATATAGAAATACTAGTAAACAGAGAAATCACATCAAAACTTGCCATAATTTCGTCTTCTTCAATAATTATGTCCATTACTTTCCTTTCAAATTCCTCAATATTTTTAATGTTCGAAAGAATATTTTTCCATATGACAAATAACATGCATACACACACACTCATACAAAACTAATCTTTACAAATCAACTGTAGAAAAGTATACACAACAACAATTTGACATTAGTCATTACAAATAAATAATAATATATTCTTATTTTGTACATGAGGGACGCCAGTTTACAGGCATCATCAATATGATAAATTACATATACGATTAGTAAGCACATTTAATAATAATGATTTTATAAAATACATATTTTTTTCCTACCTGTGTAGGACACATCAAATGTACAGGCATGGACAAGTATTATTTAAATTACATAAATTTTGTTTATGGTTAAATTACATGGTTGCTGACGTTTTTGTCTTTGGTTTGTGGGAACAATATGATAACTAACCATTCAATGGAGCACATCAAGAAATATAGGAATATAGTCTTCGCACTAACAAAAAACCCAAGTATGTTTTAGATGGGTTACAAATACTTGGGAAAAATAAAGCTTGAAGTGAATTCCCCCATATAACTTAGGTGTGTACAAAACCGAATCTTATTCTTGATTTATATCCAAATTTGGTAATAATTATACTTTTGTCAGCACTTTCATCGTAACATCACGAGTAAATTGTACTCAATGTAGAATAATATTAATGATAGTATATATTTTCTTATACATGGGTGTTTCCAAGAAAATAAAGATATTTTTACAGATACGATCAGTTATGTTATAAGTTACAATCGTGAAGTATTATAAATTAATACTTTTTCATTGGTATAAGGGTATATTCCCCAACAACATTCATACAGACACCATTTCGCTTCTGCATACGGATCCATAAAAGTAACAAATAGGACTTCTTTTCCAATTACTGTGGAATAATCATACAAGAGAATCGCAGCAGGATGACTGGACTCTGCCCTCAACTATACCAGGACAAACACATTTTCTACAGATACCTAATCAGGATAAACCAGATATTCGCTAAGTAGCAAAACACGTCTACTGGGGAGATTTAGAACATAAACTGAGGAATCATCAAAGCTAGTTTATGAGTGCCCACACAAGACCCGAGATAATTTCCTCACAGCGAAAGGGCAGCATGAACAGATAAGTTAAGCAAGGAAGGCATTTGAATGCGTAGACCTACTTACTTATCAATCGATATGGTTACAAGGAAGCATAAACTAATGGTGTTTTTGTTTTTGTTTAAGTTTAAATGTTGATTATCTACTGCCCCATATTATTTAGCATAGGGCTGCAAATGCAAAAAATACTACCACACATATAACGTCTACAGTCGTGCTCCATCTAAAGAAATTTCTGTAGCCAGGTAGTTTCACTAGTACCAGACAACTGGAAATTGTTACTGAGTGACAATTCTTATTTTCCTTATTTTACTTCACTGTATTAGATATCTGAATTGAGAGTTGAGTAGTAAGATGATATGTGATTCATACTAAATTCTCGGCACTAACATGCTTAACATTTTTTTCGATTGTTGTCAGTTTTCAAGGTGATCTAGTACTACGGAAACATGCAGTACTGATGTATTTTCTGACAAAATAATGCATAGAAAAACTTCATTTCGTGCAAGACATCTTAAGATTTTTTTCATTTGGCACGTTGGAAAATCATATGTATATCATTTTGAGCAATCAGACTAAGTTATACATGTTTTACTGTACTTGCACATTTTTTTTGTAGACCATTAAAGCGGTTAAAGCATGAGTCCTGAATATGATAATGCCTTACTAGGCATCTTGCAGAATGAGGGAACGTTGGAGAGGTTTCTAGACGTAATATTCGGGTTTCTAATGCGCAGGTATAAATTGTAATGTCAATTTAATTGTTTTAAGGACTGACTTTTATTGCATTATAACACCAGAACAGAAGAAAATAGGTTTTCCACCCGGTAGGTGTATTGAAATGGTTCTTCAGGTATGCTTTACTCTCAAAATAATTTAAGGCTTATGAAAAATACAAAACAATATTTGAGAATTATCAGCATCACCATGAAGCACAAAAATTAGTCGATAAACCCAAAAGTAAGATTATTTTATTATTATTTAATCTTCAGAATCCCAAAAAGAAGTTGCTAAAAAAGAATTAACACAAGCCGATTCTGTTGTTGTACCACCTTCAGATGACAATAAAACTGAAAGTTCAACAAAAGTTCCGATCTCATCACCAGAAACTGTAGACGAAGAGCAAGTGCTTGTTTACGAATTCAACCCATTCTACTTAGTAGTGATGGACCGGAAGTATACATGGCAGACGCAGATCGCTATAATGGTGCTGTAAGAGGTAATTATATATGGAGTCAAACTGTCAAAGATATCGATATTAAAATCAAAGTACTTGTGAATTAAATAACTTTTAAATAACTTCTCTCATGCATAGATACCAGACAATGTTGCGAATGCTCGTGACGTATCCGTGAATATTGAACGCAAACGTATTCGTATTATCTTTCGACAGAATGGAGACGAGACTGTTTATTTTGATCGGGATTTGTATTGGGATATCCATAAGGATGATGCTATATGGACCTTTGATGCAAAGGAAAATCAAGTTAGTCACAAATCTGTTGTTAACAACTCGTCTCAATTTTAAATGACTAACATGTTTAAACTCCCAAAAGTGTGGAATAACTTACATAACATAATTTGAGTTTCTATGGGCTTACCTTTTCTTAGTTAGATACTATTTCAGTTGTAATAGATGCTTGTAATGAGTATTTATTTGGAATTTTGTTGAGCAAGGCAAGCGAATGATAATACCATGGCTCTGAAACATGGCCAATACGAGTTGAAGACATGAAAAGGTTGACTGCTTTCGATCATAGATGTCTGCGATCTCTGTCTCACGTTAGGTGGTTTAATAAGGTAAGTAATGTTGACGTTAGGCGTAGAGTGTTGGGTGAAGAGGGAAAATCAATTGACGAGGCTATAAAGTTACATAGATTGAGATGGCTAGGTCACGTGCTGCACATGCCTAACCATCGCCTCCCCCAACGGGCATTACTAGCTGATATAGGTGCAGGTTGGAAAAGAGTAAGTGGTGGCCAAACAAAAACATGGCCTCATCAATCCATGAAATCCTTGATAGTTAAACTGAGTCAGGTAGGGAGATGCAGACTTCCGGGTTGGGGCCCTCGGGACTCTTGGAATCAATGGTTGGAGACAATAGGTGACAACGCTCAAAATCGTTGTCAATGGCCAGCGCAGATGTATTCAGCCTCTGTAATCTTTCATATTCCTTTCTACCATTACCCATTCTCTTTCGCTCTTATGCTTGTCAAACTCTATTGATGCTCTTTACTCATCTTCTTGCCTACCTTTGTGTGCTATTTGGAACGTGGCAACTCGAACTGCTGCACTTCGGCGCAAAGTTCTATGTTGAATCCAGACAGACAGACAGAATGATAATACTTGATGATTTTAATTTCATGAAGGACAGAATTCATTGGGTCAGGAGCAGAAATAACAAGGAAACATTTCCTTATTGCAGTCATCTACTCTGAATGAATCTTTTAGCATAATAACATGAGAAATACTTCTTATAAAGATGCAGTATAGCGACAAATGTAGTATTGTGGTGAGAGCTGTCTGCAAGCCGAAATTGTAGACAACAATCTATGTCAGTGTTCACGTCCCAAATCAGGATCATGAGAAAAACGATAACAATGTTTGACCTTGAGGAAATCACCAGCCAATCACAGCGGAGTTAAAGTGTGGAAATATGATTCATAGATATGTGACTTGGTTTCTGAGAAATGGCCACAACGAGGTGACAGAATAACCCTCAGCAAGAAGACAAACAATCAGAAGAGGCTGCTCCTCCGCTAACAGTAACGCTAATAATCATGCGCATAAAAATCTATAAATACCTCTTGATTTTCCCAATAAACGATCTGTTGCCTAGGCCTTGTCGTCTGTCATTGCAGTATAACTTAAAACTTAGTAAAGCGCCTTCACTATCAAAACTGGTTGCTTCAGTGGTATAAAATAAATGCATATTGTTCGATATGTGTATCTAAAACTGTTAGAATGATATGCATACAAATACGGTAGAAATTAGTCTAACAAACAGGTTCAACCTTGAGGAAAAATATGATAAATTGCGCGATATGTTGGAAAACACTTCGGCTACAGTTCCTGTTACAACTTGTCTGTATTCGAAATACAATCCCAAATAATGTTATCAGATATGATGTAGGGGATAATAATAATTCTTAACCTGATCTTAATTATGTTATTTACTAAATGAATGTAAGTAATCAATACTTACCGAAAAGTATACAACCATATTTTACCTGATTTCTTGAGTAAAGATCCACTTATGTCTGGACAAAGTTCAAGATCGTTGGTGGGTAGCGGCGTTTGATGGTGAAGACAAAATAAACCCTCGGAAAATTGACTGCCGTCGGCCTATCCATGAATTAGAACCCGAAGCCCAAGCTAGAATACAACAACTAATGTATGATGAACATCGTAAACGTCAGGGATTGCCTACCAGTGAACAGGAAGTAAGTTTTCGTTTTAATAGCGCTCATCGATACATTCGTCAATTTAAATAATTTTTTTTTTGTGTTATAATTTCTGTCAGTCATGTAATGTCATTAATATGTCAAAAATCAGTCCTTCAAGCGAAAAAGGTATAAGTCATTAATAAGATAGAAATTGACTGGTGGATGGTGACTAGCAGTGGAATCCAGGATGCGCAATTCGTCCTATTTGGGATTCGTCATCCGGATGTAGGTGACTGTCGTGGCCCAAGTGGTCTAGTGGATAACGCTTTGGCGTTTGAAACTATGGGCATTGGATTCGAGCCTCGGTGGGAGCATCGCCACTCACTGGGGAATGCAGATACATCCAGCCGACGAGTCCCAAATAGGACGAAATGTGCATCCTGGATTCAACTGCCAGTCATCATCCACCAGTTAAATTCTAACTACTTGCCCAGATATCGTCGAAGCATCTGCCCAAGAAGCCGACATGTCAACCTGAGACCGAGCACTTCGGTCCAATCAATCTACGGGAAAATCTAAAATTCAATTAAATCATTAGTAGGATAACCATCATAACGCTCCCTTTTCTTAATGATCGATTGGATTAATCAAAACTCAAATTTATCCACTTTTCACCGTTAGAATTTTCAATATCTTCACTACCCTTATTACTGTTTGGTGGATGTTGACTAACAGTGGAATATGGGATGGGCTTTTCGCGCTATTTGGGATCTGTCAGCCAGGTGTACGTGCATTCCTAGTGGGTGATGGTTTTTCTACTGAGATTCAAACCCGATAGCCATCGTTTCAAACTCCAAAGCATTATCCAATATGCCATTTGGGCCATGGGAGTCACTTCATTGTGTAATGGGTATCAATTATTATTTGTTTAATTTAATATTTCGCGTTGGTTGATCATATTATCATTGTTCCCTTGGGTTCCGAGTGGAAAATGGTGCTTCAATAGTTCATCTCCACTTTGTCTTATTCCCTGCAATCCTTTTTAGCTGACCCCACTGTAAGCGCAATATCGCTTGAAATTAAGTCACGCGTAGATAAAGGCTATCCCGATCCAGAACAAACAAGAAGCCGGTCACTGTTTCTACGGTTTCAAGAGTACAAAGCACAACGCTTAACAGAAAGCAAGGTACCGCTATCAGAGCGGAATAACGTTAAAGCCAAAATTGCGAACTAGCCGGAACCAGACACGACCGTTCAGGTAAGCAGTCAGTAGAAGAATGAACCCAAGTAAGGCATGGCATAAAACAGAGAGTGGTTAAGAAAGATAGACAGAGTATAGGCACAAAGATAGAATTTAACTGGCTACTTAACCAGGTAGGAAGATACAGGTGAAGATCAATAAATAAGATAAACTCGACAAAATAGTACAAAGTAAGGCATGGGTCAGCAAAAAAATAACAGTTCACAAAATACTCTGATTGGGTCATGAGTTCAAATGTCTGACTAAACAGATCGAGGTAAAAACACATATACGCAGTTCATTAAACAAGAGGGGATATACACGTTAGGCATGGATAATTGGGTTGCAACAACGCTAGGCTGATCCGGGACAGGTTGACTTGATTCAAGGATGGGAATTGAATTGATCTTACACCCACCATTGCCTATGGTCTCTAATCTCCTCCTCCGTCAAGGGTACCCATTATCCCCATTTCTGTTCAACTTCATCATAGATGTACTAATGGACTTAACCCTAAGTGACTTCAGCGACTCAGGGATTGACTTGCTACCAGGGAATAATCTCGTTGACTTAGAATATTCAGACGATATAGTCCTCCCTGCTAGGCGAGGACGCTGACAAAATGCAGAGTCTTCTGAACACCTTGAGCTGCAATCTACGAATGTTTGGCATGCGATTCGCTCCCTCCAAATGTAAGATGATGTTACAGAACTAGACTACATTGACTCCTAGTTTAGAAATATGGAGTGAAGTGTTAGAGCACGTTGACCGCTTCACTTATTTGGGAAGTTGCATCAGCCAACGCCAACGGGTTGATCTCTGACGAAATCTCAGCTGAGTACGGATACAGAGGGCTAGTTTCGCATACGCCAGCCAGTTCACGCCGTCTCTGGCGTAGACGAGATATTCGACTATCGACCAAAGGGCGGGTGTACTACTCATCAGTCCTCTCCGTCCTCCTTTATGGCCATCTGTGAGACCTGGCCATTGAGAGTGGAAGACATGAAAAGATTAGCTGTCTTTGATCATAGGTACCTGCGTTCTATTTCCCGTGTGAAGTGGTATAATAAGATGAGCACTATTAAGGTTAGGCATCGAGTTCTAGTTAAGGACGGGAAGTCAATCGACGAAGTTGTGAAGTTACATCGACTGAGATGGTTAGGACATGTGTAACGTATGCCGAGTCATCGACTTCCTCGACGGCCAATGTTAGTTGATATAGGGTCAGGTTGGAAGACAGCTAGCGGCGGTCAAACCAAAACATGGCCTCACCAGTCAATGAAATCTACAACAGTTAGTCTAAGCCAGTGACGTAGGAAGGTGTAGACTTTCTCACTGGTTGGGGTCCTCGGGACGGTAAAAACCAATGTTTGGAAACAATTGGTGACATGGCTCAAAGTCATTCTCAGTGGCTGGCGGAGATGCATCCACTCCTTGTGACTTATGATTTCCAATGAAACTGTTTTGTTCTTCGTTATTACTCTTCCTTTGTCTGACACCTCTGCTTACTGTCTCTATTATGCTTTTCTTGTACTTTCTTCTCCTGCTTTGTGTGCTACAAAGAGGGAGTGTGGCGACTTGAACTTCCGCATATATGTGCAGTGTTCTATGTCGAAAACAGACAGACAGAACTCGTACGATCTGCTCCATGTCATTCTCGGACGCTCAACTCGTCTTTTCTCATTCGGGTTCCATTCTAGGCTCTGTCTGGCGAGCGATGTCACTCAACGGTCTTCTCAAAGTATGTCTAATCCATCTGGATTTTCTTCGGCATATTTATTGTGGAATCGGTTCTTGGTTGGTTTGTTGCTAAATTTCCTTGTTGCTCTTTTTTTTTCCGACTATCTTATTGTATTCAGTAGGAAGCCAGTGAAGGTAGCTGTTGATAAAAGTCTGCAACAGGTTGTTGGAAATAGTCTTGGTGACGTATATAGAAGCGCTGACTTTACATTGGTGCTAAATATCGGAATGTTTTTCTTGACCCTGTGTGCAATAGATTTTCACGCTGATTTCAAATTAACGAACGTCTGTCTAGCCTTTCCGATCCTGCCTATGGTAACCCCATGCTGCTCAGATAAGCGAAAGAGATTATTTCCTTCAATTTCCTCCCTTTAATGTTAATTGGTGCTTGTTGCTATCGGTTATGTATTGTCATCACTTCTGATGTGTCTATGTTCATTTGAATTCCTGTCTTCGCTGCTTCTTCCGCTAACTTGTTGGTTTTCGCCTTTTGAATCTTAAAATTTATGTCACATTAGGCATAAATCGTCCCCGAAGTTCAGGTCTTCTAGAATCTTGTCATCCAACGTAATCCTGTCTTCTTTCTCCCCACGGTCTTCCCCATAATCTAGTCCACCATAATTAAGAATATTATTGGTGACCTGTTGACCCGCCTTGCTCCTAGTTCCAGTGGATTCGAAGATGTTTGGATATTATCATTTTATTTTATGGATGTTGATCAGCAGTGAAGTCCAAAATGCTAACAGAGATCAAAGATTCTGTCGCCATATAATCAGTCATTGGGAAACACAAATTTAAACTAAACAAATGTTTTACACCCAAGGAAAGCACAAAGAAAATCGCCCCCACGATATATAAAGGACATCTCAGAAATCACTTCAAGACATTGCCTATTGAGGAAGGCGATGGCTAGGCATACATAAAACATGTCCTAACCATCTCAATCGGTGTAAGTTCACAACCTCGTCGATTGATTTCCCCTCCTTACTTAGCACTCGACGCTCCACTTCACACTGCTAATGCTGTATGATCAGAAGTAATAATTTGCTGCAGAACTAAGCTGTCAACTGTTCCGTGTTTCTTCATTTAACAACCATGCTGGTAGGTGTTCATGAGCGTAACCACTCGATGCTTCGCTGGTACGGCCCATGTACCTAATTCTACGGGAGCAAGTGGGACTGCTAAATACACAGTGGAGTTGCCATGAGCAGGATACATATTGTCTTTGGTATTTTGGTGAACCAGACAGAGCATGTAGAGAAAAGGTGAGTCGTAGAATTATAGAGAAGAAAGTTCTTCAAATTGCTTTCAATAGATGACTTTGGAAGACCTCAGTAATTGTATCCACCTTCAATTTCAGATTTACTAGTTTTTTCTTCGAGTTTCGCGGGACATTGTTCATTCTCTTCAAATGTTTATTGATAGAGGTTGAATATCTATTCGGATGTACAGTTCCAGTTCGACAGCACTTTTTATGGCCAAATAGATGGTGTAGCTATGGGCAGTCTAATTAGCTCTGTTTTAGCTGATATCTTCATGTCCACACTTGAGGAAACAAATTTAAACCAGGCAATCGGTGAAACAACTTCTGATTGTCAATGTGTCGATGACACATTTTTATAATGCAACAACCAAAGTCATGCTTCCTGCCTACTCGGATTATTCAGCGACGCACATTTAAATATTTTTTTTTAATATTAAATATTTTTGATTACAGCTTGATTCCACACTGTATTTTTGGTACAAGTGTGGAATTTTCAGCATGGATATCCGTAGCCCAAGTTTTACAGGCCGACCATAGATATCAGGTGTGCGTCGGCAGGGGATCGAACCACGGACCATGTGCTTGGTTGGGGAGAGTCCTAACCACTGTGCCACTGACTCACATACAAATAATAAATTTACTATGGAACATGAAGATGATGGATAGTTCTGTTTCCTTGACATTATCATGCAACGCCTGGAAGATGGTAGCCTCCAGAGGTCAATTTACCGAAAGTCTACATGGAATGGACAATATCTACATTTTAATAGTTTTTGTCCAAATATCTTTAAACGAGCTTTAGTTAACACTCTA